CCAATAAAGCATTCATATTCTCTGAAATTTGCAGCACATCTGCAAATATAACACACATATAGAATAATAATAACAACAACAATAATAATATCACTTGAATGCTATCAGCATTGACAAAATCCTTATCAGTCAATTGCAAAAGGCAATTTTACTCAGAACAGCTTCTATTCTGTGACAATAAATACCATCAAATATTCACCTTTGCCTATCCCAGGTCCTTGGGAAGAACTTGATAGGTGATTAAAAATGCCGGATTCAGTCTAAACATCTGGCTGACTGTACCACAACCATAATAATAATCATTATTTTAACTATAAAAACAGAAATGATAATTTCCTCTCCTCAAGAAGCCGTCCCTGGATCCGGCAATATTGGCCAACTATCGTCCTGTCTCCAACCTTCACTTCCTGGCGAAGGTTGTTGAGAGTGTGGTCGCGCGACAGTTTCCACAATTCTTGGAGGAAACATCCTATCTGGATCCATTCCAGTCGGGTTTCAGGCCTGCACACAGCACGGAAACGGCATTGGTCGCGTTGGTTGATGATCTCTGGAGGGCTCGGGACAGGGGTTGTTCCTCTGTTCTGGTCCTGTTAGACCTCTCAGCGGCTTTTGATACCATCGACCATGGTATCATGCTGCACCGGTTGGAAGAGTTGGGGATGGGGGGCACCGTATTACGGTGGTTCTCCTCCTTTCTCTCCGACCGGTCGCAGTTCGTGTTGGCAGGGGGGCAGAGGTCGACCTCAAGGCCTCTTATATGTGGAGTGCCTCAGGGGTCGGTCCTCTCGCCCCTCCTGTTCAACATTTATGTGAAGCCGCTGGGCGAGATCATCCGTGGCTTTGGGGTGAGATACCACCAGTACGCTGATGACACCCAGCTGTACATCTCCACCCCAGGCCACCCCAACGATGCCCTTGAAGTGATATCCCAGTGCCTGGAGGCTGTGCGGATCTGGATGGGGAGGAACAGGCTCAGGCTCAACCCTTCCAAGACTGAGTGGCTGTGGCTCCCGGCATCCCGATATAGTCAGTTGACTCCATCACTGACTATTGGGGGCGAGTCGTTGGCCCCCACAGAGAGGGCTCGCAATCTGGGAGTCCTCCTGGATAGGCAGCTGTCCTTGGAGGAACATCTGACGGCTGTAACCAGGGGGACCTTTTGTCAGGTACGCCTGATCCGCCAGTTGCGGCCCTTTCTTGATCGGGATGCCCTGTGCACAGTCACTCATGCCCTCGTCACCTCTCGCCTTGACTACTGCAACGCTCTCTACATGGGGCTCCCCTTGAGGAGCACCCGGAGGCTCCAACTGGTCCAGAATGCAGCAGCGCGGGTAGTGACGGGAGCAGCCTGGCGCTCCCATGTAACACCGCTCCTGCGCGAGCTGCACTGGCTCCCAGTGGTCTTCCGGGTGCGCTTCAAGGTGTTGGTTATCACCTTTAAAGCGCTCCATGGCATAGGGCCTAGCTATCTTCGAGACCGCCTGCTGCCACCGACGACCTCCCATCGACCCGTGCGCTCCCACAGAGAGGGCCTCCTCGGGGTGCCATCAGCCAAACAGTGCAGGCTGGTGACCCCCAGGGGGAGGGCCTTCTCTGTGGGGGCACCTACCCTCTGGAATCAATTGCCTCCAGAGATAAGGAGAATCCAAAACCTCGGTGCCTTCCGCCGTGCCCTTAAAACCTTCCTTTTCCAGCAAGCCGGGCTGGCCTAATTTTTTTAAGTGTTTTTAAGTGTTTTGTTTATTGTTTTTAATCAATGGGGCCAAATTTATATATGTATATTTTAACTGTATTTTAATATTTGTATTTGATGTTTTTACTTGGCTGTTCACCGCCCTGAGTCCTCAGGGAGAAGGGCGGTATACAAATTCAAAATAAAATAAAATAAAATAAAATAAAATAATAGTAAAGGAAGTCAGAATGCATTAAAATAGACATTCAACAGTGAGATGTGCAGCATATAAATTAAATAAATAAATAGTATCAGGAATGAACTTTTATACCATTTATATTGGTAGTGTTTTTGTTATGGGCAGTGCATCATTAGATTAAATACCACTTTAAAAATGAGTAGTATAAGATAAAATCCATTCTTTGAGATGAAATAAAGGGATGGTCTGCATCCTTTTGTCTTTTAAGAAAATGGTGATGCAGAAACATAACGAAGCTGATGATCCATCCAATTTAAGACTTAAGGTCCATCCAACATCCCTGTTTGGGTCAGATGGCATTTCAGTCCTTTCCGTTGGCCCAAAATCCTTGATTTATGGCCACAATTGAGCCCAAAATATCTCTTGTTAAGTGAGTTTTGCCTCATTTTACTATCTTTCTTGCCACAGCTGTTAAGTGAATCACTGCAGTTGTTAAGTTAGTAACACAGTTGTTAAGTGAATGGCTTTCCTATTGATTCTGCTTGTCAGAAGGTCACAATCAGATAATCACATGATCCTGGGACACTGCAACCGTCATAAATATGAGCCAGTTGCCAAGTGGCTGAATTTTGACCAGATGACCACAGGGATGCTGCAATGGTTGTAAATATGAAAAATGACCACAAGTCACCTTTTTCAGCGCCATTGTAACATTGACCGGTTGCTAAATGGATGTTTGTAAGTCAAGAACTAGTTCTGCCCACGAGTGCCTAAAATAGCGTCATTTCCCGTGATTGTCCTTTAAAAAATAAGGAATATCTGCCTATCCTTTGCCTTATTGCTTTTGAACGTTTCTCTGTTGCTGTTTATTTTTTTTTTAGCTCCATCCATCGCAAGTGATGTTGGAAACCTAACTAGTTCTGGTTTTACAATATTGAAAGTTACCATAGTGATGAGTAGTGGACACAGCTTCTCCTCCCCCATTCTTTAAATTAAAGAACAGATGCTGAAAAGATTGATCTTGCTGTGACCTCTTTTAAGCTGACATCAACACACTAATTGTTTTCCATTCTTTTCTCCACAGCCTAAGCTTTGTCCTCCTCTTCAGTCTTGGCCCGTTTTAGATTAAAGAGCCAGTCACAAAAGCAGGGATGCCTTTTGTGATCTGCAGTATGAGACTATTTATCTCAGATCCCCGTTGGTTCCATTGAGCAGTTAATCATAAAAGTCGACCAACAACGTATAATGGGGAAATAAATGTCAGTATTTCAAAACCACAGTGGAAGTTGTCCACCAGCCAGTATTGGCCGTGGATACCCAACCGTTTAGTCATAACTTCATAAACTGAAATAATTTAGGGGTTAATTAGTGGGTTTCAAGTTAGTAGTACTTCGTCTCATCTTTGGATGTAATTCAAAAAATAAAAAATAAAAATTTGCAGAGGCCCGAACCTTGCATCTTTTTATAAGTCTTTAAAGCAGCCGTGTCTATTCCTGGGATCGCACAGCCATGAGATCCTGGTGGTAAAACGTGGTATTTGAGATGTTTGCAAACAGGTGCTCGGGTGCTTCCTGCAGATTTTAGGAATCTTTTCTTTGGAATCCAGTCTGAAGCACAGCACAGCACAGTTACAGCTTATTGGGTGTTTGGGGGTGTTTATCAGGGACATATTTATTTATTTTATTTGTCTTTTAAAATACTACCATCTTTTTCCATACCGCTCCTCCCTTGGAACTTTTGCTACCCTAACAGACAGATAGGAGTCCCAATATTTATTTTTATTTATTGGATTTCTATGCCTCCCGTCTCATTAATACAGTGACTCTGGGCGGCCGTCTCAATATCTCATTCACACATTCAAATCGGCGCATCGTATTGCAGTTGTCAGATAATTAACCTTCAATCGTGAAATAACCAGATGTGAGCTGAGTTTTCTTAGAACGAAGGCATTTTGGAATGCTTTTTACCATTTTTTATTTTGAAGCACAGTATTATAGTAATTTGCAGTTTTAAGCCCTGGGTAGGTAACAGCCAAAATAAGAAGGTAAAAATCTAGGAAAACATAGACCTGTCATTTGTGACATATTCCTTTTCACAGCAGATCGTAAATTCCAGCTCAGTCCTCCAGCCAGAGAATAAGAGATGATCTTTTATGTATGTGTGTGTGTATCTATCTCTGTGTGTTTGTTTTTATCTCTAATAATTATAATAACGCCATCAAGCTGTAACTGTTAAAAACAATGGACAGTGAGAATTTACAGCATGGAAAATTATCACGGTGAAAAGCCGGGAGTTACATTATAGCAAGGGACATTAGATCTAACTGTTGCATTGGGATTCGGTCCTGAAAATGGGCCTATAGCGGGCTAATTTAAATAGATTGTTAGGATATTGAATTTAGTAGCTTGGACAGCAAAGTGTACAATAGGCCAGAACACACAGTTGTAATTGATTAGTTAGAGAGTGCTGACTCATGCCTGAGGCAATCTATGCTGTGATTGGTTGATGTAATTATAAAGGGGGAGTTTCCCTTTTTTCCCGCCTTTTTCTTCTGTTCGATTTTACCTCATGATATTCTTGGTTTCCTGACTATCTTGTGTTCTTTCTTTCTTTCTTTCTTTCTTTCTTTCTTTCTTTCTTTCTTTCTTTCTTTCTTTCTTTCTTTCCTTCCTTCCTTCCTTCCTTCCCTCCCTCCCTCCCTCCCTCCCTCCCTCCCTTTCTTTCTTTCTTTCTTTCTTTCTTTCTTTCTTTCTTTCCTCCTTCCTTCCTTCCTCTCCCTCCCTCCCTCCCCTCCCTCCCTCCCTCCTTTCTTTCTTTCTTTCTTTCTTTTTTTCTTTCTTTCTTTCTTTCTTTCTTTCTTTCTTCCTTCCTTCCTTCCCTCCCTCCCTCCCTCCCTCCCTCCCTCCTCCTCCTCCTCTTTCTTTCTTTCTTTCTTTCTTTCTTTCTTTCTTTCTTTCTTTCTTTCTTTCTTTCTTTCTTTCTTCAAAGATTGTTGTAAATTTAAATGTTAAATATATTCACTAAGTCTGCATTACTATTTCTATTAGTCTTCTCATTGTTCCTATCACTCTAACCCTAACCCTAACCCTAACCCATCTCCTCCCACTTCTGACTGCATGACTGTAACTTTGTTGCTTGTATCCTTACAATTTATATTGATATTGATTGTGTCCTAGTATGATTTGATTGCTTATTTGTACCTTATGACTATCATTGGCTCCACCCCCATCTATTCTCTGCCCTCCCCCCCCGAGTCCCAGCTGATCGGGAGGAAATGGGGATTTTGCAGTAACCTTCCCCTGGAGTGGGGAGGGAATGGAGATTTTACAGTATCCTTTCCCTGCCACGTCCACCAAGCCACACCCACCAAGCCATGCCACGCCCACCAAGCCACGCCCACCAAGCCATGCCACGTCCACCAAGCCACGCCCACAGAACCAGTAGTAAAAAAATTTGAATCCCACCACTGCTTTGCTGAAATGTAGTCCTGATAGCATATAGTACAAATTCAGCTGCTGGTCAAATCGTGGTTCTAAAAGCTGCTGTTGGTTGATAAATGAGATGAATTTATGCTGTAATATATTAGAGGTTTTTTTTATGTGCTTTAAAGTCTCTTTGAAGTGTTTTGGCACAAAAATCAAGATATGTGTAATCTCTGTCCATCAATCAATCAACCTAAGGAAGGCTGAAGAAAACCTTTTCCCCCCCAATATTTCTTTCTATTTTCAGGATGAAGCTTTGTTAGGTGGGAATCTACTGAGATTAATCTTATCACTAACGCTGGGATGCACGTTTGCTTCTGATTCTCAGGTATGTGGTTTAAATATGGTTCCTTTCATGTCTACCTTCACTGTATATTATACAATAATTCCATAGGTCCAACAAAATTTTACATTCAGTAACTGGATATTGGTGGGTAATTTTCACGGGCCACTTCTCATAACTCCCTTTCCCTTCCCTGTTTTCTTCCTTCTCCCTCTCTCATAGTCCACCCATAAGTATCCCTCTCTAACTGCACAATACCAAAATAATAAAATGTTCAGTTTGATGTCAAAATGCAAACTCTATTTTTCATATTTTCATGTTGCTCCTCCAAGAAAATCTATAACCTCATCCTTTAAAGGCCAGGTATATTCATGTGATGGCTTCTGACACAGTTTTAAAAATCTAGCTCTAATAAAACCTTATAAAATAAAGTCTCTTGATTGTTCAAAGCTTCTAGCAGCTTAAAAGAGTAATGGAGACTTGACACAAATAAACAGTGTTGAAAAGTTTGAAAAACCTAAAACTGCGCGCCTGTTATAATGTGAAATCATAATCAAGCAAGCATTATTTGAGTAATGAAATGCAATTTGGTATTTGCAATCATGATGTAGATGGTCATCATCCTTAGTTGTTACATGCACACATGATAAATGCACAGGGAACTTTGTAAAAGTTGAGGACTTGCTCTAAATGCTCTTACAAATTGCTTCTTGTATCAAGGCTTGTTTGAGTAAAGTAGAGGTTGTGGTAAGCACGGGCAGTCACAAAACACAGCTTTGGAAGGCATGTTGGTGAAATGTTCCTAACCATCAGTCTTTCAAGATGCTGAACATAACTTCTGCTTTTTGTTCCTGGACATGTAAGCATATATGTTACATTTGGCTGTATCCACCCAGAGGTGACTGCAGAATTCAATGGTTTTGTTATAATGGCCAAATGAGTGTTATACCATTGAGATACAAGCTCTGCACTTGTTGTGGTCTGCCAGCAGCCTGTGGAGCTGGCAGCGGAGTCGGACAGTGAGGAGGCTGGGGAGGAACATGGGCCAGTCCTGGAGTCTGGGGAAGGCCCGGACGAGGGCTTTGCATCGGAGGCAGAGATGGGGCCAGGGCCATCTGGGAGAGATGCACGGACTCCGGAGCCCCCAGAGTCGGACAGCAGAGAGGCAGAGAAACAGGAGGAGCCTGTTCCTAGTGCACGCATGCACAGAGCTGCCAGAAGACAAGAGCAGCTAAAGCAAAAGGGACGACTTGGGAGCAAGGCCAGGAATGATTGGCCCCTTCCATAAGGCTTAAAAGAGAAACAAAGACACTTGGGCCTTTTGCAGGAAAGCAACGTTGTTAACTCTGTTTCCAGTCAGCATCTCTTGTTTGTTTCTGAACTCTGTGGGGCTTTGCCAAGTAAGGCCTTTGGCAGGGTGTCAAAGAAGATAAAGGTTGGTGATTATCCTGAAGGACTTCGTCCGAAAGACTTTTTTGCAACTAATTGGGACTCATCTGGGAATGAACATAATTCTCAGTTGTTACAATAAAATAGGTTTTTTTGGAACCAATTGTGTATTGTAGTAACCCAGTAAGCCTAGGTCACAACAGCACTCTTTGTTTAATCATTTGCCCTCCTCAAAATTCCTCCATATCCACCCACCACATTTATTCTCTAAGGCAGGGGTGTCAAACTCGTGATGACACGTCATCACATGACGTATCACAACATTTTCCCCCTTTGCTAAAATGGGGGTACAGATGGCCAGCACGTGACTCATCCAGCCCGTGGGCCATGAGTTTGACACCTCTGCTCTAAGAAGACCTAAAAGGGAAAAGAGAAGCAGAGGTGATCATAGTTGATTTGCATAATTTTATCATGTCTCAAAGTTCACTTCATGACCAACCAGAGAAGGAAACTCAATGGATACCAAATGAGGTTTCTGCCTACCTCGTAATGCTTACCCATTCTTAAAATGCGACCTGGCACTACTTGAGCATTGACCAACCAGATGTTATTGGTAAGAAGATAATTAGCAATAATCCAATAATGAAACTAACAAGTCCACCATAACTTTGTCTCCATTTAGCACATTACTGATTCAATATAAGTAGAATGTGTGAATATTTGTGGAACTTCTGGACAGGTCTTCTTAAATATTCTTCTAAATAGGTTAGCATGAACTCTTATCACTCATCTATGTTTCTGAGACTCATTTGTCAGATACTTCATTTCATTACATCACAATCTGTCTGGACAACCTTGTCATTGCAATTTCCATACCCAAGCAATTTCTTTGTTCCCTCTGACGATGAAATTTTATCTCTGTGGTCACCCGGCTTAGGTTAATAGCCTGGAACAAACCTCATTTAAAATCTTTTACATAATGAGAAGGAACAAGAGAAAGACAGGGGAAAGGAGTTGGTGGCTGATATGGGATCTCACAAATTCATATGAGCTCTTAGATAGGTTCATGGCTCTTTAACAAGCAGTGGGTTGACTTGCCAGATTTTGTGTTAAGATTGACAACTGAAAAAGTAGAGTGAACAGTTGTTGCTGACTATTACACCAATAATTGGTGCCACATAACCAGCTGCATTTATTTCATCTATTTTTTCCTTTCAAACAAATTGTGTTGTTATTATTGTTCCCACCAATAATGCATAGCTTAAGAAGAGAGATAATAAATATTTAGTCCTTTAAAGGGAATCAGCCTAGTCAACAGTCCAGCTTTGTCAAAATTAGCTGAATTGGAAGCATCAAATGAAAACGCAAATTTCTCTCATTTTGTTGATTTTTGTTAGAAACAGTCTCCATTGGAATTTAATAAATTTAATAGGCCAGATGGATGGAATGGCTGAATAGCTGCACATAGAGTCATAAGTTAGGCAGCCTTAAATTTGACAAATTGTGTTGTGTTAAAGGAAAATAGATAGGAGCAATGGTGGGATTCAGCCAGTTTGCACCACTTTGGGAGAACTGGTTGTTAACTTTCTGAGCAGTTTGGCAAACTGGTTGTTGGAAGAAATCATTAGGGCAGAGAACCGGTTGTTAAATACTTGAATCCCACCACTGGATAGGAGATGTGTTGTAACTAGGCCTTCAAATTAGTCTTGACTCCTGGCAATTTCCTGGACAAGTCCATGCAGTTTTCTTGACAACATTTGTGGAAGTGGTTTGTGACTGCCTTCTTCACAGAGTCAAGAGAGATGGACTGGCCCAGTTATTAACCTGGTTTTGTGCTTAAGGCAGAATTATAACACACTGGTTTCTTGCCTAGTTCCTTTAAGCTCTGTATCAAACTGACTCTGAATTAGGAGATCTATAAGGCTTAAAATTCAGGTCAGTTACTAAGAATTCCAAGTGATCATGTTTGGGCAATAAAATCCTATTAATTTATAAACAAAACTGAGCAAGGAAAACACAAATAGCGAGCTCTATGCAGTTTCCTCACACGGAATGGGGCAACTTGCCATGCCAATTCACCATAGAACAACTCACCGTAGGATAACTCAGTGTGAGATAACTATAATATTATTATTAATAGTATTAACAACACTAATAATATTACTAATAATATTAAGAGAGGAACAGGTCTAAAGTACAATAATCTCGCATTAAGTTGCCCCTTGGGTGAGTTGTCCCATGGAGAGTGGTCCCACATTGCAAGTGGTGAGTTGGCTGTGGTGAGTTGGCCACAGCAAGTTGGTTGCAGCGGCCCACGAGGTGCTTAAATCCGGCCCATGGGACCAGCCTGGAAATATCAAAAGATTGGCCTGCGGTGTCTCTGCTGGCCAAAATGGGCTGCATACAGCCCCCCATGGCCCGTTTTCGGCCTCCCCGGCCTCCTGCAGCATTCCAATAGCCAAAAACGGGCCATGCAGGGGCCTTGGGAGGCCTACGTGCGACCCATTTTTGGCTGTCAGAGTGCTGCTGGAAGCCGGGGATGGCAGAAACGAGACATGGGGGGCCATGTACGGCACTCCCGTGCTCCGTTTTGGCTGGTAAAGTGCTGCAGGAGGCCATTTAGGCTGAAAATGGGGCAGAGCCTGCACCCCATTTTGGCTGACAGGCCCACGGAGGAGAACTACAATGTTGATCCAGCCCTCGAAGAAATCCAGTTTGACACCCCTGTCTTAGACCCTCCTCAAGTGACTATGACACATGGAATCCCAAACTTCACTTTAGTGATCAAATGTTAATTTGGAGTATTATTTTTTCTTCTTTTTTCAGATTAAATAAAGACTAAAAGAAATCTGTTAAGCTTCTCAGGTGGTGTTGGATATAGATGTTCTTCATGTATGGTTAATCCGTGATAATTTATTCACACATGCTAAAATCTTCAAGTGACCCATTGGTCATTTTAGACTTTGTCCACTCCTTCATAGCAATAGAAGTTATAATTCTGGCTATATTTTAAGAGTTTCTAGTCTGGATTTTCTAACACTGTACAATTTATTCTCCTGCTAAATGTCAGTTTTGTAACTTTGCATGATTTGTATCAGCTATGCTGCCTAAAGCGATATATCAGCTGTTCTAAAAGCATATGACACTTTTCTTTTTCTCTATTTAATCCCCAATCTGTATCACATGAACTCTTCATGGCTGTAAAGAAGAAAATGGATCAGAAATATAGAAAATCAAAATGTGTTTCATAACATTCAAAAACATTACAAAAATTCAGGGCCGTTTTTATGTTTATGTCCATTTGTATTCATAAATGGATTATAACTTAGATTTTTTAGGGAAAAGTCAAATACCATATTTTTCGGAGTCTAAAACACACTGGAGTATAAGATGCACCTTAGTTTTTTTGGGGGGGGAGGAAATAAAAAAAGCTGATAGGCGGATGGATTGGCCTCCCGGAATACCCCCAATCTGCTGTTCCCAGAGGTGAATTTTAGCAACAGGTTTGTTGGTTGTGAGCTCTGTGCCTTGCTTTTTTTTCTGCCTCTGAAAGCCTCCAAAACAGAGCTTCAGAAAAAAGCATTTTTTTCTGAAGCTCTGTTTGGAGGCTTTTTTTCTGAAGCTTCTTTCAGAGGCTTTTTTTTTTTTTTGAAGCT